ATCATATGGTGGTTTTGGGACGTTAAACGCCACATATCAATCATCAGTCAAGCTGAGTGCCGAGCGCGCGTGGCTTTTTTTTTCTTTCTTGAGTTTTCATTTGTATAGACACGTAAACATATACGTTGATTGACGATGGCGCTGGCGGTGATGGCAAATACCCAGCCGAGACCACGGATGGCCGAGATTGTCCATACAATTGCTAGCGCAATAAAAAAGAGCCAAGCTGAACGACATCGGGGGCCACACCATGCGTGCAGTGAAACTATGCACGCACACGGCGTCGAAAATGAAGAGCGAACGACACATAGACACCTCGGGAAAACTTTTCGGCAAAGCGTCTTCCATATGCAGCGCAGCTTCACATATGTGACGCTAACTAAAAGCGTGGCACTGCCAACGTGCAAAATTTTTCTTTTTATTTTGGTTATTTTGGTTTGGAGTGTGTTTGTGGGGAGTGCGTTGTGTTGGAGTGTGTGTGTGTGCCCCCGGCGGCGAGAACGGCGGCAGCGTCGCCTCGTGGGTGCAGCCCTTACTGCCTGCCTCGCGCTCACCTGCACGCATTAATGAGCGCTCGCTTTCGCCTAGTGCGTGGTGCACGCCTCTGCCGCGCATCGCACTTCGTCGTCGGCAGGACAGCCACAGAAGATGCATGCTGGTACCAAAATGCCGAAATGCGGAGCAAAATCTCTAGATTGTCCGTAGGGAAAATTCGTTATATCAAGGTTGTCTCCCGCTGTTACTTTGTTACATAGAGGTCGCAAATACATGTGTTTCTATGTAGCGACGGCGGGGAATAGAAAAACTTCATTATATCAAAGAATTTGTTATATGGCGGTTCGTTATAAGCAGGTTTAACTGTATTCACTAGAAATCAGCACTGTTGCGATGTGACATATTAAGGTTAAAATGTGTGTGCCTTAAATACTGTTTAACCACTTAGAACTTCAGAATTTGATTCAAATGTGCTTGTCGCTTGAAAGCAAGAAAAGTGACACTCACCTACACCTAGTTTCAATTCTTAAATGTTATTGTGCAAGTTGTATTATGACAAAAAGGCTCATTTTACTTTATATGGGAAATATAATATTCGAACTATTTGATTTGAAATTATTTGACAGTTACTATTAGTTTTGAGCTGCTTCAAACCTCAAATTTTCATTGGCCCATCCCCAGTCATCATCATCATCAGCCTGCTCCTTCACACATGGTGCTGTCATGAATTCAGGTGGTTGTGAGTGATGAAGCCAGGCAAGGATCAGTTAATTGCACTGCACATTTTTGAAAAATACGTGCGCAGTGATTCCACTCCTGCACCAACTGCGCCAAATCATATTTACTGAGCCATCCTGATAATACCAACGGAAATTGCTCCGAACTTGGCCAAAGTCGGATCTGGAAGCATCTATCACAGGCAATAGCCACGCCGGCACGTCATAACGTGCACCTTGTTCTCGGGGACACCATAGGGATAATCACGGCCCTCTCAGCTAAACACAGAACTTTTTGATTGAATCGCAGAGTTATCTGTTGCACCTTGCCAAATTCAGTGCGTCTAAGCAGTCCTGGCACAATGCAAGTGGAAAGCGAGGCCCGAGCTCCCTCATGCTTGTTGCGCCGGCTTCTGTGGTGTACACACTTTTCCCATGAGCGTTTGTACGCTATGGTCTATAGGAGGACCTTTTGGAGGGCCTAGCAAGCATCGCTGTAGACCAAGCGTTTGGTTATGGGTCTTAGAAGCTGCAGCGGCTAGTTACGCATTGAACTTCGGCATTCAGTTTAGGGTTGTACGAAAAGTAGTCTGAACGGCAGGCAGTCTTGTTCAAGTTAACCGTGGTGTTCTTCAGTTCCGAATTAATCATTTTTTGATATAAATACCTGTCAATTTAGCTAGGCCAATGGGCCTGTTGAACTGATTTATTAGTTTGAATCACGTGCTTTTGAATGAATGAGGTTTGAAGTAGTCATGGCTTATATTATTATTATTATTATTAGTATTATTATTATTATTAGGCCTTGTATACTTACTGTTCATGCAGGGAAACATGAAGGCATCAGTTCAATACAAACGGTGTGCAAGAATGATGGATAAGCTTGTATAGCAGCAGACATCATGTAGGGTTTTTTTTTTTTTTTACAAGACAGGTACTATATGAAAATATTGCGACAGTTGGGGGGCTGTTGTTTCACGCACGAGCACTTTGTGGAGGCAAAAATATGTTGCTGCAGCTAAAATGACATTGGCACTACCAATTAATGAACTTCATTTGCTAACTATTGATTATTAATCTGTGGGCACTTGTTCATCCAGTTAAACCTGGATGTAACGAAATTATAAAATTTCCACAAATCTTCATTATACAGGCAAATCTCGTTAATTCAAACACGCTTAGTTTGAACTTCCGGTTAATTTGAACTCACGATGAGGTCCCGTCAAAGGTATGTGTATTCCAGTGGGCAAAAACACCCGATAATTAGAATCCACAAGCACTTGCGATGGTTAATTCGAACATACCGCGCTCCCATAATGCTCTCAGCACCCGCCCGATCCCACGGCGGCACCCGCAACACCTCAACGCTGCGCGCAAAGGAAATAAAAAGGAAAGAAAAGGCTGCAGTGGAATGTTTGCTAAATGTCAAATGCCGATCTGCGACGCGCCCGTGTCATCCGTCCCTACCACGTAAAGACCCTTCTCCTTCCAATGCCGCCCGCGAATAGAGAGAGGAACAAAAAAAGAAAGCTGTCACTGGGTTGAAGGAAAGGAAAAAGCCACTATCTTCTGCAGCCCTTGCCCTTTGCGGAAGCACGGCTCTGCGCCTTGAGGGAGGGGGTCTCGCGCACCTGTGCCATGCTTCCCCCTTTCCCACCCCTGCCGTGTTACCCTTCTCCTTTCAATGATGCGCGCGAAGAGAGCAAAAAAAAAAAAAAAAAAAGCTGCAGTGGAGTGTTGTTTTCTCAAATGCCGATCAGCTTTTTCGCGTGGAGACGTTCCTCCTTTCTGGTCATGTGCTGGCCAGGCCGCGACTGCATAGCGGAGAAGCTCTGCTGCGCTATGCAGTCGTTGTCGTCATCGTCGTCTTTAGATAAAGTGTCGGCGCTGGACATTTCCGTGCGCATTTCTCTTGCCAGGAGAATGCTGAAGCCGAAGTAGAAATGCTTTGCAAGCTGCGTGCGAAATTGATTGACTCGCTGCTAGGCAAACGTTTGCAGATGCGCATCACCGATTGCTTCAATTAATAATGGATGTCCTGTGATTTGTGAATAAATGTAAAGTTTCTGAAACTTCCCCCTCGTGTGTTAGCTCAATGCACATGAGCCACGGTATGGTGAGCCCTCCGTTTGTTTAGCTTTCATTGATTCGAACTTCTATTATTTCGAACAAATTTTCGGGCCCTTTCGAGTTCGAATTATCAAGATTCGACTGTATAGAAGTTTTTATTATATGCAGTCTGAGCATGAAAATTTGGAACGAAATACACACAAAAAAAATTAAAAACTGAGGGCAGTCTTTACCCTAACATTTGTTTAGCAGTAGCAAATTTTTATTTATGTTGCTTGTTTGCGAGGAATGGCAACATCGTATGATCGCAGTACATAAAGAAACATAATGCTGCTTCGCTGTCGTCTGACAAACCTGTGATGGGGTCAAAATGCCGTTTCGAAGATCCATTGTCGTTGTAGTGAACTCGGACACTTTCCAACCAGTGCATTATCCAGGATGTCCTTAATAGTGACTGGGTAGTCTTCCGTTTAAAAAAAAAAATTCAAAGCTTGCACATGGTCTGAGGTTGCTCCTTTCATGCTGAAGCTTGGCTTCTCCTGTGCATACAAAAAAAAAAGTGTCTGAACTTGCACAAAGTCTGAGGCTGCTTCTTTCATGCCGAAACTTGGCTTTTCCTTCGAATGCAGAAAAATGTCAAAAAAAGCTTGTACGTAGTCTGAGGCTGCCCTTTTCATGCTGAAGCTTGTCTTTTCATTCGCATACAAAAAAGTTTTAAAGCTTGCACGTAGTCCGAGGCTGCTCCTTTCATGCTGAAGCTTGGGTTTCACTGTGTATGAATTACACTGTTAGTAACTCTTTTCTCAGGAGGCTGGATGGGCAATGTGGAGTTCACAGGCAAATGCTTGAGTTTTTTAGCATTTATGACTGTGTATGAATCACACTGTTAGTAACTCTTTTCTCAGGAGGCTGGATGGGCAATGTGGAGTTCACAGGCAAATGCTTGAGGTTTTTAGCATTTATCTGTGAGGTGATTCATCTAAGTGACTGGATATCTGGACACGGAGTTAGCTCACACGAGTGCTCAGCGCAACTTCGAAAACTAATCATTCTGATTTAGGAAACTGTGTACACGTGTGTCAATAATGTTTACATTTGTTCTGCCTCTGCTGCATGCGACGACCCTTTTCGCTACTTCTACTGAGTACGTTCAGAAATGAATGCATGCCACTTTACCTGGTTTTTGAGAAATTTATTCTATACTGAATTCAACTTTGATATGTGGAACACTGAAAACAAGATAGTTTTATTCTCAAGCTGTTGATGCACCAGGGGAGGCTTCACAAGTCCAACAGGCAAGATGACAAAACCCAACAGGCGAGATGACAGATTCACCCAACTGTGTGAAAGAGAGATATGTTGCGGCACGCAGACTCGCTGCGGCTGCACCATCTGCTAACAGATCTTTCTGTAGCATGCGAGTGCCACCAACATCACTCATAGTAAAAGTGTGTGCAAGCACTTATGCAAACACATATGAGCACCCATGCTTACTTCAAATCAAATTCAAATATGTTAAGGCAACATTCATTAGTCAGAAGTGCCCATATATGCAGTCTAATCGAACAACACAAACATTTCTGGGTTTAAATTTTTTGTATCATGGGTGCTTTTTTAGCTTTACTTTTTTCTTCTACAAAGGCCAAGTATGCCTGTATTACTACTTAACAGAAACCAGGTTGCCTGATCTGAAGTATGTGCTCTACACTTTTTTTGCAGAAATTGATATCATCCCATGTTGACATTGTGAACTGTAGAGACGTGGATGGACGACAGTCAACACCATTGCACTTCGCAGCAGGGTACAATCGTGTTGCAGTGGTTGAATTCTTGCTTCAGCATGGTGCTGATGTTCATTCCAAAGACAAAGGGTAGGTTCATTGTTATTTTTTTGTTCACTGTGCATTTCTTAAGGGGAGACGCGGGTCGAAAAGTCGCGGTTTTCCGGAAAATTTTCGCTTTTTTTTTTCCGGCTGTATTGGCATCCTTGGACTATAATCTATTACTTCTGAAAATATCAAGCTGAAATTCGCACGAGAAATTATCAAAAAATGCTTCCAAGTGGGCAGCGGTGACGCGAGAAATGCGCGAAAGTCTCGAAAAACGGCGAAGTTCGCGTCGTCCTGTCGTGAAAACGACGCGTTGGCCGCCATTTGCAATCGTGCACGCATGCTGCAAAGGCCGTATCCTTCATAATCCACTAGTAGCCAGTCTCGTGCCTTCACGCAGAATAAACAAAAAACGAGAAAAACAACGCGTACGTCACGCGTTTTGAATATCGCGGCACACAGCGCGAGGCCGCCATTGGACGGCGGTGCGCTCCACGCTCCTCCCCCTCCTATCTCTCCGGCAAAAGAGCGAAGCCTCGGACGTCGCGATCGAGTTTTTCTGCGTTTCTCTGCATTTTTGCGTCATGGCAACTTGAAGAAGTGCAGTTCAGATAATCGAAAGTTCAGAACTCGCCACAAGTATTGAGGGAAACGGCGTCGGACACTTCGCAAAGCGACAGCGAACGACGATGTCGCCCCCGACCAACGCCCCGACGCTCGGACTTCGGATAGGCCTAACACCGTCACCGAACCCTGCAACAGTGGTTGTGAAATAGCCGCTGCCGTGGAATTCGTCAGTGCATCCCAAAGGAAGATTGGATTCTTCGAGAGTGAACGTAGACCGGTAGATGCTGCTACTGCGAACATGCTGCTTTGCGAAATCGATGCGCTGACGGCACTTGTGGCGGGTGCGCAATGCCCAACCTGCCGCGAACGGAAGCTCGGCGTGCGAGAGGCAGCTGGAAAGCGCAAAGGACTTTCGGCATTCCTCGAACTGTGCTGTCAAAATTCTGATTGCCCTGAATCTGCACTTTCGTTCACGCACACGTCGAGACGTACTGCTTCGGCCGGGGACCAAGGAACGAGCGCTCGTTTTGACAGCGGCAGCTCGCGTGACAGCTTTGCTGTAAACGTGAAGGCAGTTCTGGCAGCACGCGCTATAGGCGCAGGCCACGACCAACTTTCACGATTTTGTGCGATTCTCGGTCTTCCGAGCCCGATGCATCACAAGACATTCAACGGCATTTGCAAGAAGCTCCATGGTGCGGCGATGACGGCAGTGAGCAAAAACTTGCACCAGGCACGAAACATCACGAAGGATGCAGTCAGCGGCAGAGATGTGCCAGTCATGTTTGATGGCACCTGGCAGAAAAGAGGTCATAAAAGCCACAATGGAGTGGGCACAGTCGTGTCCCTGGACACGGGGCTCTGCCTCGATTTTGAAGTTCTTTCGAACTACTGCCATGCTTGCAGTATACACAGGGACCTTGGGGAGGATGAAGAGATATGGCGAGCTTTTCATCTTCCAGTTTGCCAAAAAAACACCGACTGCTCATCCCATGCAATGGAACCTGCGGCAGCTGTCAATATATGGCAGAGGACCTTGTCTTATGAAACTCCACTGCGATTCACCAGCTTCCTAAGTGATGGTGACAGCAAGGCCTACACTGCAGTCTGCGAGGCAAATGTATACTGTGACACCCCCATTGACAAAGAAGAGTGCACGAACCACGTTGCAAAGCGCTTGGGAACTGCCCTACGGAAATTGGCAATGCCACTGCCACGAGGCGAAAAACTGAAAGATGCGACAATAATAAAACTACAAACATGTTACAAGATCGCCATCACGAGCAACAAGGACAGTGTCCGAAATATGTACACTGCCATATGGGCATCGTATTTTCATTGCTGCTCCAGTGATGGTGCCAGTAGCCACAACTCCAAATTCGTGGTGCAAGCACAAGCGTGCGGAAGCACTGGGGGAGCCTGCACCACGCCACACCCCACTGTTGACGAAGGCTCAAGGATTGGCAATTATGCCTATCTACAAGCGCCTTACAGAGGAGAAACTCCTTATTCGGTGCCTTCATGGCAAGACACAGAATGCAGCCGAATCGCTGAACAGCAAGATATGGCTGCTATGTCCAAAAACAAAGTTCGCCTCCAGAACAACTGTGGAGACAGCCACCGCTCTTGCTGTACTCTGGTACAACAAAGGCCACAGGGGCTTTGAAGAAGTGCTCGAAGGCATTGGAATTCTCCCCTCACAAGATCTGGCCACACGTGGTGACCACTGTGACGTCATGCGCATCAGGAAGATGAACCTGAAGCAAACTGCAGAAGCGAGGGCACACCGTCGCAACACAGCGAAGAGAGCTCGTGTTGAGGACACTGACCGCAAGAGCCGTGGAGGACCAAGCTATGGTGCAGGGGACTTCTAGACACTTGCAGTGCATTCAAGGCAAGGTACTTTTCATTGTGCCCCAATTTGATGCAAAAAGAATGATTTCCTAATAAATGCCAACTTTGCGAACTTTCAAACTTGTTTTTCTCATTTTCATTTTTTCTGACAGTTTCACGTTTTCCGGGCAGCCTTTTAGAAGCTTATATTCATGGTATAGTAACGAAACCTGGCACACATATTCTTCAACACATGCAGAATGCAAATATCTGCTCTAAATTGCAATGCCTACCAGCATTAGTTGTGAAAATATTAGCTTATTGTTTCAAGGGAGATTGAAAATAATAAGTCATTCAATACAATTTTTTTTTTCTTGGTTCCAGTATTTCTGTGACATATCTATATAGATATTTGCACTTTTCAATCTACCAAGAGTCAAATAAGATCAGACACAGTGCTTTTACTGAAAGTTTAGTACATAAAAGAGTGTCCGCAAAAAATGTAACTTTTTGCTATTGTTTATGGCATAACTCAATAATTATAGCAGCTACACAAAAAATGATTGCATATTTGAAATCTGCATGAAAAACTATACTAATAACAAACTTTTCAAGTCTCTATTACTAGAAATAAAAAAAAAAACTTTTTCGAGGAGAGTCTCCCCTTAATATTCAAACAAATGAGCCCCATCGTTGAGTGCAACAGCTGTGTCCCTTATCTCTTACATATGTTAATGTGCTCTTCAGCCATAACTCGACCGCCTGTCATATAACACCATGTATTATTATACGTTATACTTATTAAGGGGAACCCCTTATGTGCCCTACAAAATTGGGAAAATGACCGTCGGCGTTGAGCTGAAATTTCTTGCGAAAATCTGGACATTTCTTGAGAACTTGCTCAATGTCCAACAGCTTCTTTCTTATTCATATTGTCTAGTTAATAGGAAAGAGGTATTCAGCTCTTGATGCGACAAGAAGTATAGAAACTGTTTTACTAAATGCCCGAAAAACGTGATTTATGACTTTACGCTGCGGAATTGTGGGAGAATGCATCGAGATGGCAAACTGCTATTTTTGGTTAATGGAGATGTAGCTTTTCCTGTGTGTATTGATGTCAAAGTATTATCGGGCTAAAAAATAATTCGTGGGAATAGAGAATTTGATTTACTTGAGCTCGATATGGTTGGGTTTGACTTTACTCTGAGAGCAATGAACCGTCCTTCGACAACAGAAGGGTGTAACTCTGGACGCATACGTCATCGGAGTTCATTCAGCTCCAGACCACATATTCCAATAACATTACATTACATTGCAACAAATGACTGCACTGCTCAAGCAAGCCAATTGCCATTAAACTTCTTATACATTGAGTTAGGTTAGGAGTGAGGTTCCTTATTCACAGAAACATAGCTGGCAACATAGAGGAATACTATAGCAATAATGAAAGGGTGCTAGGTATCGTAATTAAACTCAATAAGAGATACAACATGAAGGTGGTACAGGCTTACGTGCCTACACCCAGCCATGATGACACTTCAGTTGAAAGCTTCTATAAAGACGTGGAATCAGCAATGAGTAAGGTAAAAACACAGTATACTGTACTGATGGGAGACTTTAATGCAAAAGTAGGGAAGAAACGGGCTGGAGACCAGGCAGTAAGAGATTATGGCATCGGTACTAGAAATGCCAGAAGGGACCTACAGTCCAATTTACGGATTTTGAATACCTTCTACCGAAAAGGAGAAAACCTTAAATGGACATGGAGGAGCCCTAATGGCGAAAATAAGGATGAAATAGACTTTATAATGAGTGCACACCCAGGCATTGCGCAGAATGTGGAAGTGGTTGGCAAGGTACGATGCAGTGACCATAGAATGGTACGGTCTCGAATTCGCCTAGACTTGAAGAAGGAACGACAGAAACTGATCTGTAAGAAGCCAATCAATGCGCTAGCACTGAGAGGGAAGGTAGAGGAATTCAGAGTCTCACTTCAGAACAGGTACTCGGCTCTTATCGAGGAAACCAGCCTTAGCGTTGACGCAGTGAATGATAATCTGACGAGTATCATTACGGAGTGTGCAATGGAAGTTGAAGGTACGGTACTTAGGCAGGACACTGGCAAGCTCTCCAAGGAGACGAATAACCTCATTAAAAAGCGTCAAAGCATGAAAGTTTCTAGTACAACAGACAAAATAGAACTGGCAGAGCTTTTGAAGTTGATTAATAAGCATAAGGTATTCGATGTAAGAAAGTATAACATGGAGAGAATCGAACACGCTCTGAAAAATGGAGGAAGCGTTAAAGCAGTGAAGAGGAAACTTGGGATAGGCAGAAATCGGATGTATGCACTAAGGGACAAAGAAGACAAAGTAACTACCTATATGGATAGGATAGTTAAAATAGCAGAGGAGTTTAACAGAGACCTGTACTGTAGCCGAGACAACCCCGACCTTAATACTATAGGAACTAGCAGTGACCCTGATGACACCCCATCAGTAATGATAGTAGTCAGAAAAGCCTTGGAGAGCATGTAAAGAGGTAAAACTGCTGGTGAGGACCAGGTAACATCAGATCTGGTGAAAGATGGAGGACAGATTGTGTTTGAAAAACTAGCCACCCTGTTCACGAGGTGCCTCCTG